GAGATCCAGCACCGGGGAGCCTCAGCACAGCATTTGGGTTTTGTATATTTGGAAGTTTAATCTTCCTTACCTTGTTGTTCCTACAACCCCCCTTCCCTGTTAAACCCCTACCCTTCTTCCTTTCTGTACCCTGTTAAACCCCTTCCCTTCTTCCTTTCTGATCCCTGTTAAATAATATATTTCATTTTGTTAATCTTCAATTTGGTGCAAGGCTTTCATTACCCCTGCCTTCCTTATTTGCCTCTCTATCTGGGAAACTGAGGGATAAGGGAGGTGGGACACAATTCTGCCTTCTAACCGGGACAGAACAATTTTTTTAATTTTTTTTTTTTTTTTTCCAGTTCTGGGGGTTTGGGTTTTTGTTGGTTTTAAGTGTAATTTTTGTTTTCAGATAATTAAGGCTGTTTTTACTTGTGGCCATGTGTTTGCTAGTGGGTACGGGAGGGGAAGAGGTGTGCCGTGTCATGCCTACAGGAAAGTTTTGTTTGGTTTGTGGATACAAAGCCTTGGCACTTTTCTTTAGGAATATTTGACTTTTTGGAAGAAGGTGGAAGCGTTTGATCTGTATATTCCCCCATAGTTTTGAACCAGCATACCTGTTTTCCACACTTGGTCCTTGCCAGGTGTCTCCATCTCTCTAGCTGGAGATACTTCTTTCTGGAAGTTTTGCTTGGTGGGAGCGGGTGGTGATAGCTGACTCTTGGAAATGTAGCTAGGGGGAATATATGGTGTGCCCTGAACTGCTGTCATTGATGACTTAAGCTAAACATTTTGTGAAGGAAGGAAGTTTTTTCCTTCTTTTTGCACTGTCATCTTTCTGGAAATGTCAGGAAAAAAAGTTATGTTGTAATCTGGGAGGCAGGGGAAAGAGACCACACGGAAGAACAGGAGACTGCAGAAAAACTAAAAGTGAGAAAAAAGGAAGGAGGGAAAGAATGGAGATTAATACAAGAGAAAGGTTAGAAAGCAGGAGAAAGAGCATGAAGTCTTGAATATTTTCCTCTCTATATTCTAAGAATATGCCTGTTGTCATCTCCCCAGGAGTTTTTTTGCAGAGCCTTGTGGGGAGGCAGCAGTGAATTGCTCCTTTGGATGCTAAGTGTAAAATTAAAGCTGGCAGGGTCTCAGAGCACAAGACTGGGAAGCTAATCGCTCCTAATAACATATTGATTTTCACAGATCTCTGGCATTATGTCAGGGTGGTTTTGAATCAGCACCTGATTTCTTCCTCTTCCCATCTCCAAGCTAATGGCAATGAAGCTTCTGGCTTTGGGATTGCAAATAAACGCCACTCCAGGTCTTTTTGTCTGTACAAATCTGTGGGCCTCCAAAACATGGTTTCACACATTGCTCCTATGCATGTCTCTGTGAGACATCCAAGTATAATAGCTACCCTGGAAGTACAAGGGTAGAAAGAATGTGCATGCATTTTAAATTTGGACAGCCGTGCTGCTGCCTGTATTTATCATGCTGAACACAAGCATTACAGTCCCATTGCTGCAGATGGCCAAGGACAATCCAATGGATGCCTGCATTCAGGAAGAAGCCACCAGCACAGGTGCCTAGGAGGCTAAGATCACCGTGTGCTGCCAGGTTACATTCAACTCTGAGCAGGTTTGCTCTATATGTTGCTCAGCTGTAACATGCACTCTTCGAGTTTTAGGGACTGACTGTCAGGACAAGGGGTATTTTTGTAGCTGGAGGGAATGGCTTCTTGCAAGGAATTGTACTGAAAAGGCTTCGTGATACTCCAGATGGTGAAGATTTGCAAGGTGTGAATGAAATCTATTTTTAAAAGAAGTCGAACACATAGGCAGTCTGAGTGGGGCTGGGCTCAGGTCAGCACAGGGCTCACACAAAAACAAACTCATCATCTGTGGTTGTGCAGAGACTGTTTTAACTATTTCGGGCTATTTAATTTTATCTGCTTAATTGTTAGAAGTATTCATTGCTTCCTGTTTGTAGCAGACAGGCCAGAGAAGGAACAATAATATTTGGTTTAGGCTGCTGTGAGATGTCAGTTGAAACACTGCCTAGACTTTTATGCCATCTTCAGCAATTCTGGATGTTCTTTGGGTCCTTCTTAAATAACTATAATAGTAACGGTTGAGATTTCCTGTCTAAGGACAGTCATTTTCTGGCAGTGGGGTTAGTGGAGCTGAAGGATGTGAATTCTTTTTGAAGGGAAGAGCCTCTGAAGATAACAAACAATAGGATAAGACGAAAGGGCCTCAGGTTGTGCCAGGTTGCATATTAGGAAAAATTTCTTCACTGAAAGGGTTATCAAGCATTGGAGCAGACTGCCCAGGGAAGTGGTTTAGTCACTACCCCTGAAGGTATTTAAAAGATGTGTAGATGTGGTGCTTAGCAACATGGTTTAGTGGTGGACTTGGCAGTGTTCAGTTAGTGGTTGAACTTGATCTTAAAAGTCTTTTCCACCCTATGCAATTCTATGATTCTATGATTATTCCCATACTTTCAGTTTGTTGCGCTCTGATGTCTGCAGAAAAAAAAAGTCATGTTTCCAAAGCACCTAACACATGCCACTGGGGAGAAGGCAGCAGCAGAGCTGGGGCACTTGTGTCAGCTACTCCCACTCACAGTGCTGATATCCTCCAATCCCCTTCTCCAGCTATTCAGGCACTAGGGCAAGCAACTGTTTCATGCAAGGCACATCTGAGCAGAAGGCGTCAAAAGAGCCATTTCATGCTTGACTGAATTTTCTAATACAATCTGCAGAGAAAGAGAGAGGAGAGAGCAAGGAGGGTCTGTCTGTATCTACGCATTGCCTTTGAGTGTATGTATAATATGCAGTACATTTAGTTCCAGCTTGCAGCTGTGGGTGGCAAGTAAGAGGTACAGACGTGAGGTGGAAGAGAATTGCACTTTGAAAAGGAGAAACCATTCCCCCACCTTGTAAAAGAAGCTTTCCTTACTTCTCTGTCTCTTGGCCAAGCAAAGAGGCGTGTCCCCAGGGCAGCACTGGCAGCTGGTACCCAGAAGGTGTGTGTATGGCTCAGTGGGTGTTGTGTGTGGAGAGCTTTGTATGTGCAGACGATGACACTTTGTGGGGAGTGCAGCTAAGAAAACTGGTGAACAGGGATGCTGTTCACAGGCATCTTATTTTAATGGTGCTCCCAGAAAAGTTTTCTTTTTGAGGGGTTAGTATGTCCCATGACCTGAGAGGCCCTGCATAGCAGCTGTTAGTGCAGTGGGTCGCTGCAGAGCACAAGCACAGTGATCCCCACCAAATGCTTTGTAACATATATGAGTCTCCTGTCACTTTATCACCTTGATACTTGTATCCTTATTTATCACCTCATTTGCATATTACACACTGCAGTTCTGGATTTCCTGTTTCCCACCTATCTACCCTACTCTAGCATCTAATATTTAGGCAGTGACAGGATATTTCCCTCTAGGAGTTTCGCTCCTGTCAGCATGAGTGGCCCAACTGGGAAACAAGGAACAAAGGAATGAATCATAAGGAGTTTATCTAGATTCCAGATATGTGTTGTTGCAGTTGGCTAAATTAGATGGGGGGTTAGCTTTCTGGGTTGTGTGTGGGGTGCCTGGTGAGAATCCCAACCCTTCGAGAAAACTGTATCTGAGCTGAATGAGGAACTGCTATGAGTGTTTTACAGAGCAATCCTTCCGTATACCTAGGGAGCTGAACTGGTCTTTTTTTAACTGCTGGGATTTTTTTAATATGTAGTTTTGTAGTTGAAGTCCTACATGGGGCACTCTCTGCAGCTCTGCTTTTGGTAGAGGTTGGTTGTGAGAAGGAATACTCTGATTCATACATTAATGTATTTATATAGATTTTTAAGTTTTGTATATAAAAACACTTCAGAGCATATTTTTGGACTGAAAAAGTTATTTCCATGCTGTAGCGGTTGCTGCAGTTCTATCACAAGAGTTTACTTCTATCCCCTTAGAGAAGAGTATCAGTTTCTGCAGGCAAGACCCGGAACAAATAGAGCGTGTTAAGTACTATAACTCCTTTTCTCAGCCAAACTTCCCATTTTCTTTGACATCCTCAGAGATGATAGAAAAATATAATTTATTTCCTTGCTGTTCTTTTTATTTTTCCTCCTCCTGGCTTTTGTTGTGCCTCCAACTTCTGACTTTTCTTGTGTTTAAATGACAAACGTGCAGTGGAGTTTGGTTTGTTTCTTCATTTGCATGGCAGCGCCATCGGTTGTGTCAGTGGAGCTCTACTAACATTAGTTATTTATAAGGAGGGGAAAAATACGAAGTCACAGACCAGTGCAAATCTGATGTCAAAGAGACCTGTTATGAAACTTGCTTCATACAGTTGTTTTTTTTTTCTTTGAAGTGCTAGCAATGGAATGACATTCCTCTCTAAAAAACAACAGGCCTTAACAGTAACACAAACAGGAAGTCTGAGCCTTCAAAGGCAAGACTAAATGCTCTAGTTAGAAGTATTGTAGACAAAGTTCTGTGTTATTTAAAGTAGCTATTACAGCTCCTGCTAGAGAGGGCTGTATGAATGGAGGGGGTTGCCTTTTCTGGAAGGTGTGAAAAACGGAGGCTTTGCCAGCTCATTATCACAACATAGCCCTGTGCTAACACACCTCTCCTTGGCGATTGTCTCTCCATGGGTGCTGTTGTCTCCAGTTGTGCTGAATACTCTATCTTTAAGTTTGTTGCTCCTACTTAACACATAGCATAGCTAGATGCAGCTTAAAAGTGCTGTGTTTTTCCTCAGTTACACACCTTTCTGTGGTGAGTGGTATGGTTTCTCTAAACACAGTGCATTGTGATAGGTGCCGGGGTTCTTGCACAGAGGTGTAACTTCTTTGCGTTTTATGCTATTGTTTGCTGGTTCCTTGCAGAGGCCTCTATCTTGAGCTATGATGGCAGCATGTACATGAAGATCATCATGCCTATGGTCATGCATACAGAAGCAGAAGATGTGTCCTTCCGTTTCATGTCCCAGCGTGCTTATGGGCTGTTGATGGCAACCACCTCACGAGACTCTGCTGACACTCTGCGCCTGGAGCTGGACGGAGGCCGTGTCAAACTTATGGTCAATTTAGGTATCGTATAAAAAAACCTTCCACTGCCCCTTCACTATTAGTTTGGGCTTGTGATTAGTGTTTCTTTTAGTCATTTTGTTTAATTTCTGTTGGTTTGATTGGATTGATTTCTAAAATAATTACTGAGACCTTCATAAAGATATTCTTTTGTGGAGAGAAATTCTCTTCTGCATTGCTGCATGAAGATTTGCTGTCAGTTCCTCGTTATGGAAAATATTGGGTTTTAAGTCTAAGTTTCTAAGTTTCCTTTCTTGGTCTGAGACTGGTGAGTTCTGTGTGAGACATGCTGCTTGGTCCATCTTTTGATCAGTTACATCCCTCATTCATCCAGCATCACTCAAAACAGTCAAAGCCGAACATGGGAGAGAAGCAAAATGGATATACTGACAAGCAGATTTCCTGTGAATCCCATGCCCTCTACAAAATTTGGCAGCGTTTGATACAACTTGGTCTATTTTACTGATGTGCGGATTATTTTTATTTTCTAATTGCTATGTTTCAGCTTTTTCTATCTAGTAAAAAAGCCTGTGTTTTGTTTCATTGTGCCTTTATTACAATGAAGGCAACAATGTGTTCTGTCTCCTTAGAGTTACACCGTCCCAGAATATAAAAAAAACAGACAGAAAAAAGTCCACCAATACTACTAGAAAAAAAAAAAGGGAGTGAATGTGCTCTAAGATTAGCTTCAATCTAATTTCTTGCCACTCTGTAAGTATTGTACTGAATGACAAATAGCCTTCTTAAACAATATAAATACAGGAGCTGAAGCCTTTCACTTTTCACTGATGCAACGTGTTGCTTTGTGTGAATCCAGGAAAGTAAGTAAGAAGAGATTCTGAGTCAAAGAGGCAGAACTATCATGATTGTGCAAAAGGTTAAACCTCTTCTAATACGTAGGGCACTCTATATGAAGATGTGTGCATGGTCTATGAAAGCTTGTGACAGCTTTCTAAATTCTAAGCCCTCCTGGAACAAGCTCTTGCTTTTTTTGAGCAGTATCAGCATTTTCAGAGCCCTGCTGTGGTGGCATCAGGAGCAAACCACACAGGCGCTTTGTTTGTAGTGGTTAAAAGTTATTATACACCTATACCTGTAGTCATGGTTCTTGTTTTTTAATTCCTGCCCTAGCTTTATATCATAATGTTTTCTTGCTGCACCATAGATGAACTTGAGTGGTGATTTTAGGGTTCCTCATCCTCACCTGGACAACATGTTGTTTCAGCAGTTGTCCTCTGGAACTAGCTTTTTTTTAAAAATGCTTCATTTTGGCTTTGAAAGTACAAGTCAGACCCTAAAATCTGTTTTTGGAATAAGCAAGTGAAGAGGAGAAAATGCATTTAAACAAGTTCATATCTCTTAAAAGCAGACTGTCCATCTAAAGGGCTACAGAAAACTTTGCTCTTTATTTAAAAAAAAATTAAAAATAGAAAATGAAGTGTTACTGAGTTCATATTTGAAATGAAAAAAAAAAATATATATATACACACACACATGCTCTGCTTAGCTTGACTGAAAAAGTATAAAGCACTGTAGAGTGGCTAGCTAGCATAGGAGCAGTTGCTATGCTATCCAGACTGACCTAGAGGACACAGGGAATAGATCAACTTCAGCTATGACAATAACGTCTCAAATGAATAGAAACAGCACTGATGATAGCCATCTCTGCCTACATTTAAGTGAAGGTAAATTTCATAGATTCGTAGAGTTTCTTTGGAGAACAGCTCAAAAGAATGTGCTGTTCAGCATTCTTAAATGTGCAAAAAGAGTCTTTCACAAAACTCCAGTGCGAATATATCTATGTGTGTCTGCATTTTCCTCTGATCTCATACAGTTGGTGATTAAAGTTGGTGCTAATAATCTGGCAAAATGAGATTTTTTTTTTTTTTCTTCTTTTTCGCTTTGTTTCCTTTCTTGGCAATTATTGCTAGCCATTTTCTTCTTAGAGAATAACGTTAATCACTGGAAGACTGGCAGTGTCATGCTTCTGTTGAGAAAGTGGTGGGGCAGCTGAGTATCTTCTTAGCTCTACACCTACCCTCTGGTAACCCAGAGCCAGTTCTTTTGCCTTGCATGGTTTAGTTTTGCTCTTTGTTGAAGAGTGAATATTTTGCAACCTGCCAAGGATGTGGCAGTATCTTAGCAAGTGCTACTTCTCTTGCCTTTGATACTCCCATGTGAGAAGCAGTGTGGCATGAAAACTGCCAGACTTGATAGAGAATTACCACTTTTTCTTCTAAGAAAGCTGCCACTTTTGTATATTCATCTTCCTTTAAAGTGAATGAGAATAGGAGGAATTGCTCCTTTTGGGTGCTCAGGGCCTCCTAGATTTACACCCTATGTGAATATGAGGAGGGTATATGTAAATTACCTTGAATATACTTACCATTTTTTTACAGGTCATTCTTTCCAGTTTTCCTTATATCATGCTGGCAGACAGTATTTTCTTTCAGGGCCCATCAACACTGTGTGCTTGATCAGCTTTAGTCACTTTTAACACTCACTGGGGTCTGTTATGTCACCACTTAGCCTAGAGGTGGGCTGTTCAACTCTTGCTATCTGGCATCTAAAAGACATGGCTGAAGAATTGACATGTAGTCTATCCATATTTGGAGGGAGATGTGTCATTGATGATTGTATACAGGGATAAAATCTGTAAACCAAACTCCATGTTAACTGAAGGTTATTTTTGTGTAGTTGCAGGGACTGAAGCAATGTGTATGCCAGATTTGCCAGCTTTTCTGCTATGAACTTTTGTAAGGTTGTATATTCCTCCAAAAGTGACTACAGGCTGGCATCAGCCCTAGTCACAACTAGGTGAATAGTCACTGCCACCATCAACACTCCCCATCTACACCCAACTCAACAGAAGAGTAGTTTAGTCTGATGGAATCTGGACTGAGCTTCACCTCTCATCTCTTCAGATTTATAAAGCTGTCAGATATATTTCTTGAAATAGAACTTCCCTTCCATCAAAATGGCAAAGCTACTTTGCTGATGGAGAAACAGAATTTGAGGAGGAATAACCTTATCAGAGCCACTCATTTTCAGTTGTTTACTGTAAATCACATCTAACTCTTTAAGGAGACTCGTCACAGCCAAAACGTCACAAACGAGAACCAAATCTTCATTATCTGACCCTGCCAAAATCCCCTTATCATTGAGAAGCAGTCATCATCAGCACCTCTGAAGACCTGAGTATGCTCGGTGCTGACTACCTATGTGTCAGCATCCCCCCGAGTGTCTAACCCATGTGTAAACAAAGACTGTTTTGAGTGGTGTGTTATTTAATGGTGCTTTTCTTATAAGTCATTTGATATTATTACTAAGAGCTGTCTCTTTCTTCTCTTCTTTGATCTATTCCATTTGATTACTTATTATCATTTGTGTGGTTATTAAGGTTTTTCCTAGGTTGTTTTTTCTTTTATTTCTTTTTGTTTGTTTGGGTTTTTTTTCTTTTTTTTTAAAACTCTTCTGTGTGTTTCAGTTGTAAAGCTTTCCCATACCCCATCAGCCATGGTAAATCAAAAGATGGTATTCAACCCTTCAAAGGCCTGAAGCCTGCGGCCCGCACAGCAAACAGCCCTGAGAACAGAGCGTACGGAGCAGCCTGCAGGGGCTGGCATATCCCACTCACCTCCTCAGCACCCTCTGCCCAGGCCAGGCAGGAGAGAGGTGTCCTACAGCAGGCGTGGGGGGGCAGCGGTGCCTGGGTGCTTGCTGCAGCAGGTGGGAGGGAAAGGAAGAGCAGCCATGAATAATTCTTTAAGAAAGAGGGATGAGGAAGTTGTTTCAGACCTTTCCCTTGTGGGTGCCTGAGGCACTGCAGTCTGCATGTTGACAGTGAGTCTCACCCAGTTTGAGTGTTTGTTGTGTGAAGATTAGAAGTCCAAATGTGTTACAGATTTCACTTCTGTTGAGAAGGACTCTGAAGAAATGTGTCTAGAGTGGAAGGAGACAGAGAGAGAAATTAGGAAAACCATGGCTTGGAACATGCTTGGGCATCACTTCTGATGCTGAGGTGTGCAGAAAGGGAAAGAAACGGCTGGTCCAATAGAGAGATCCACCTTCACTTTTTTCCTCCCATTGATGAGTGGAAGGGTTATAGTGTCGCTGACTCTCATTAAGAAATTTATTTTTTTTTTTTTCCTTCCTGGACTTGCTTATCTTCAGGCCACTGGTGACTAGAAAAAATACTTCCTGCCTCCTACTAATCTGAGTCAGTTCTGTAAGGAAGTGTAATCATCCATTTCACCTGTCTTTTTCCTAAAATATCTTCTCAAGGATGTTAGACATCTTTGCCTCTCTGAAATGTAAAGTTGCTTTTATCATTCCTACATAGAAGCAGAGCATGCATATTTCCCATTTTTCTTTTTCAAATGTATGTGAACTTTTATGCCAAATTTTCTTTAGTGCAAATCATACACTCAGACCTGCAAGTGCGTGCCCATTCACACTGTTTCTCGCTAATAAATTTATTTTCTGTAATCACTACATACAAAGGCCCTTGATTTTATTTTTTTTTTTTGTCATAGACATGTAAAAATGTTTGTCAGCTGCCAGTTACAGGTGCGTAACTGTAACTGGCAGCTGACAAACTAACTGCGTGCAAATAGGAGAGAGACGAAGAGCCACACTATAACATGGGACAGGAGTGTGCACAGAACCTCCTCTGGTTTCCCCATAGGAAGTAGCCTAGAGTCAGCTTAGAAACAGCCAAACCAAATTATCTTTCTTGTCCTAGTCTTGTGTTAAAGTGCTCTTCCATAACAACATGTGGATGCTCATGAAAAGTAACAGATACTTTGACCTCTCGCAGCAAAGGTGGTTTTCTTTCCTGATTCAAGGAAAAAACAGCATAGTGTCATAGCAATATCAAATAAATATCACTATTTTCAGGCATAAAGATACAAATGGTAAAAAACACAAGCCTAATTCACTCAGATTTCTGTCTGCTACTTAAGATATCTTCATTCAAACAGTGAATCCTAGTGTTAGCTAATTGCAGTGGAGCTATTTAACCTTCTGCAAGGAGAGGGTCTTCGTCCTGTTTTCCAGGTGATGTGCTCTGGAAAACCTTCCATCTGAGCACTAAGGAAGCAGCTTCTGGTTTACGTTTGGAATAATAAAGAAAGTAACTGTAGATGGTCGTCCCTGCTCATCCTGCTCACCATGCAGTTACAGACTCTGTTTTCACTTTGCTGCTGTCCTCCGGATTCCTCATCCAATTGCTAAACTGGCAAGTGACTGGATTTACAGCTGTTTAGGCATACTCATCTTCAAAACCTAGTGCAAGGTAAAACATCTTTTGAGTCAGGAATGCAGGCATACCTAAATAAAGCAAATCTAATCAGGAGAAGCTGATAATAGGGCTGAGAGCCCCATATGACAATTACCAGAACTCTTACTGCCCTCGTGCTGTGCAGGAGGAATCTATTCCTGAATTCCCCTGCTGTTGTTGTTTTGAGCACAAAGACCAGGCTAAACCTGCACCTTTACTTCCAGGGAAGGCATCCTCTGCTTTGGATTTGCAGTGTTGTACCAGTTTAGAGGAAAACAGCTATTTTCTTCCTTTCTAAAAACTGATGTAAGAGGGAGAAAACAGCTTCATGTATTATTGACTGTGAATTTTTCTCAGTTGCTTTGTGCAAGGCTCAGAATTAAGGGAATGAACGAAAACCCCTATACTTGTGTTTTGAAGGTAGTGTGGGAGAGTATGGTGGTGCTGGTTTAGCAGCTCAGGCAGATGCACTCACTTAGCTGCCATGGGGGATCCCGACTGACCCAGCTGGAGAAAGTCTGTTTTGGGGGCTGGTTCTTCTGGAGTGGACTTTGGCGTTTCTGCCTGGTACCCCATTGTGTGACACTGCAAAACCTTGTGCTCACAGAATCTGGAGATCTAATAGTGCCACGGTAGTTGTCAGGGCAACCCCCTCAGTGGCCTGGTCTCTGATTGGCCTTTAAAATAGAAATTTAACAGCCAGGATAAGGGCTGCACTGGTTTTCAGTTTGAAACATTGAGCCTTTTTCCTGGGGCAGTCAGTGACTCAACGTGTGGATAAGCTTTTTACGTGGGACATGTAGTTTTTTTGGTACTGCTGTAAAAAAATTAAAAATACAAAACTTCTCTGCAGACATCAATACCACAACAATGATTTTGGTTTCTAATTTTGATGAATGTTGCTGAGGCCCAGCCGTGTTTCCCTTTCCAGCACACTTCCTGCTTAGCCCATAAGAAATTCCCCTGTTGTTCCAGCCGTTACAACTTTCTTGATCTCACTTGCTTGCAGCGAGACTTGGGAGTCTCTCTCGCTCTTACTCTCACTCTCCATTAAGTCACAGAGGGAAGTTCCCCAGCATGTACTTCAGAGCTCCCTTTACCCCTCCCAAGGGATATAGCCACCACTGTACGGTGATCGTACCAATTGCTCCAGGGCTGTTTGCTCCCACTTTTCTGTTGCGGTTGACGACACATGACAAACCTAATCGCACAAAACCAAACCCAGATTTTCTCAAGAAAAGTTCTGCTTGAAAACAGACTCTCTCTGGCTATGCTGCTTCTGATTGGTGTGTCCCTGCTCATTATGGATCTTTATATATAGATATAGACTCCCCTCTTTCATTTTTTTAAGAACAGCATTTAGTTTCAGCTGCTGAAATAATTTTCCTACGACTGTCTGAGCAAACATAAAATTGGTCCAGTTAAACAGCAAAGTGTATTATATTTCTCTGCCACTCTGTATGATCCCTCTTGCTGGGCCATATCTCTATAATGAATATGACCATCCCTGCTCATCAAAGCTTTAGCTGTCCAGGTAGGTTGTCCAGCAGAATGGTGCTATTATGCCAGGCCTTGATTTCCTGAGAGGGGCGTCAGCATGACTCAAGATACGTAATAGCACTGATAGGAAAGCTCTCGCCCATGTCAGACACCACAGTAATGGATGTTCACAAGGCTGTAAGTAGGCATTTACAATGAAAGATCCTCTTATGGGTCATATCCTGAGATATGCTGAGCATTAGCATGTTGAATGAGAGGAGGCAATGCTCAGAAGCTGTCCAGTTCAGGCTGTCCTACCTCAACTTGTTTTCTTTGTGCAGACTCTGCAGTTACCATGTATTAAATTGCACGAGCATAACTTTCATTTTTCTTCCCATTTGCCCCTCTTCATCCCTCCTTTGCCTGTAACCTCTGAATGAAGCAGGGACAGCAGAAGTTCCCAGATCTGCCACTTCACTGCCCATTTCATCTTCTCCCTGAATGTTATGAGCATCCCATTCAGTCTCAGCGTTCAGACAGCAAGATGAGATTGGGCTCTGAGGAACTGGCAGGGCTGGGAACCTTTGAAAGAAATCTCCATTGCCCCTGCCAAGCCAAAAAAAAAGTATTCCCAACCTCCAGAACTAGCTGAAATCTGGGCTGGGCGTTCGTGCGGTTAGCTGTTTGCTAGTGGCCATTTTATGATCGGAGACAACTGGGCAGTGTATTAACCCTTTCCTCACCTGAATGGACAGTGTCAAATGCATCTGTGCACATATTAAAAAGTGTTCTGGGCTGGCACTGGGGGACTGAGAAGAGGGTCTGTCTTTGGGAGAGCTGGAAAGGGTTAAATATTGCACCAGCAAATCTCATAGACTGATTTTACAGGTACTCTGTGTTGGACAGATGGTGTATTTATGCAATAACAATATGAATTAATTCAAAAGAAACCAAGTGTAAAGGTTGACTTTGAGCTTCAAGCTTCTTAGAGCAATTGCTAAAGGGCTTTAAAAAGTGAAATGACACTAGAGTATGACTTGCATTTTGAGGGAGATTTTTTTCTGTGCCTTAATTATCAGCTTTTTTATTGTAATTCACATCAGTTCATGGTCTGGAGTAGAAGATACTCTTAGATGCATAGGTTTCTATAAAAAGGAAATCGCTTTCTATGTCAACAAGTGAATATATATGTATATTGGTATATCTCCTTATACATATGTGTATATATATATGTCTGTGTATATATATATATATTTATGTAACAGATATTTATGTAGGATATACTATACATATACACCCACTCCTGAACTTGTACAGACTGTATATAAGTATAAAATGGCCACATCTCTTTGCGTGTGTCTGTCCCCGGAAGGGTGGACTGATTGTTTTTGGATGTCTGCAGCTGTTACCTTGAAGGATGCAATTTCATCTTTCATTTATTTTTCCCCATCTAGACTGTATCAGGATAAACTGTAACGCCAGTAAGTTTTCCCTCAAGTTTCATTTTGTTCTCTTTCTATATATATTAAAATAACTTTATTTTCTTTGCTGTTTTATAAGCTGGTTTTATTTTATTTTATTTTTTGTTTTATTTTCTTTAAAAAAAAAAACTTCTGAAATTGAAGGGTTGGGTGGGATATGAAGCTGGGGGGGAGGAGGGAAGACCTTAAGGTGATTGTATATGAAAATTTTGTGTTAAGTTTCCCAAAGGAGGAGATGAACTGTTATTTCATAGCTTTGCAGAAGAACATCTGAGGAACCTGATGAGCTGATATTATATTTCACTGATAACCTGTTGTCTCTATGAAAACCTTGAAAGAACCACTTAAGAATAACAAGAGGTACTGTATGCATTTCTCCACTACAAAAAGGGCACACCTATTTAAAAAACAAACTGAAACAAAATAAAGTATCTCAGACTTTCACTTTATTTAAGAATGGTGACAACTTAATCTGATGTTTATTCAAAATAATTTTTATTTGGGTACAGAAGACGAGAAAACAAGATCTTTGATTTTGAGTATATTATCAGTTATATGATAACCTTTTATATAACATTTACCACTCTTAGGTTTCTATACATACCAAAGATTCATCTGGATCCCTGAAGATCCCTTTCAGCCTGTAGAAGTAGGGAAGAAGGCTTATAAAATCTCTGTGAAAAATAGTAGTGAGAGATTCCATTCTGGACTGATGGAGCAAACAAAATATTTTCTGTTCTACCTCAAAGAACTGGTCAAAGTTGATGTAGGCCTTAAGTAACAAGCACTTCCCAAAGAATGGAGCTGTTTAGCTCTGAAATGTGCTTTTGAGGCTCATTTTACTTGAAGTCAGATTCCTGAACTGGCACATCCTCTGTGTTAGATTTTATGTGGAAAGATTTACAGAAGGCAAAACATCGCTTTGGAAATGCTGTAAGGGATTAAGAGGCAAAGATGGTCCATGTGTTTTCTAGAGGCTGTTATCTTTTTGCTCATCAGTGAGCACCATCTAATCTGGCAGGAAGATGGTAAGAAGTGTATTTCAGCCCCAAAAGTGAACACAGAACTTTCATGTAGAAGAGCCAATTGTAGCAACAGAGGGAATCTTATTGTACAACAGCTTCTTAACAACTTTGCCATAGTTTTGGGCTAACAGTAGGCTTATAGTGTTAGAAAGCAGACAGCAGTTTTGTTTTTTTTCCAGTGACGTGCAAAATTTGAAAGTTTCTCTGTGGTTGCAAATAGAAAAAAAACCAGACAAAACAACAACAAAACCCCAAATACACAGAAGCAGATAACAGATGAGCTTTCCCTCCTGGTCACTGCCAGCTGATTTGCTACTGATTTCCTACCTTGTGAGGAAGTGGACATAATTAGTTTCTTGGTCTTGGAAGGTGGTCCCTGGGATCCTGTAGCCAGGGACAAACAAAAACATAGGCAGATATGTGATTATTCCAGCTGCGAACCCTGATACGCTGTAGGAGCTTGACCATGAGTTCACAATATTGAGTACTGCAGCCTTCTTCAGCCCTGTTGCAGGGCTATGTGGGATTAGTCCTTTATTACACAAAGCTTGATAGCTCCTGTTGAACTCCTTTTGCTCTTTGAAGTTTTACCACTGTATTTCAAGATCGAGTGGGTAATAGGAAAGAGTG